CCTGCGGGCTGTGTTCATAAACTGGCTGAGCAATGAGGAGTTGGCTCGTACCAGAATAATATGTTTGCTTGAGGACAGAGGGAAGCTACTGCTGTGTTCCTGCTCCAACTTGGAAGACCTGCAGCATGAGAAGTGCATATTTTGGCTCCTAGAGAAGCAGGGAGTTACAAGCAAGAAGGAGGGCCAAATTTTAAATGGCCCAGTAATGCTATGGACTGTTGAATCTTGGCATTAAAAATGCCCATAGTGACCTCAACTCCTGGCAGCCTCAACTGTGTGTAGCTCATTCAGAAGTTATTTACACACCTAGGAGGGACTGACTGTTGACAGTATTTGCAAAAAGAAGTTTTAGGTATTCAGATTCTAATATAGCTTGTGCATTCGAATAAGCCTTTTCATTTCTGGCCATACAAGGATGAAGGAGAGATTAAGTGATAGGTGAGAATGACCTGTCTTAGTGGGGGGGTTGGGGCTGGCTCAGTGTCTATCCTTCGCTCTGAATGATGTCTGTACTTGACAGTCAAGTCTACAACCTATAATAAAAGGACTGTCATCAGGGCTACTTGATTGCACTAGAAGTTCCTTCTAAACGCACGAGCAATATAAAACTGGCATGAACCTCCTTGGGATTGGACCAGATGACCTTTAAAGATCCTTTCCAACACAAACCATTCTATAATGGGCCATCAGGCCTGTGGAAGATAGCACCATCCCACAGCAACATGGACTGTATTTAGACTTAAAGTCTCCGAGTGACTTGATTTGGTTTGATTTCCCCCTTGGGCTTTGTTAGTAGGTTTTTGCTGAAGGAGAGGACATAAATGCAGAAGACAGATGAAGCCTGACTTGACCTTTTTTTTTATTAAGTACTCTTTAAATCTGTACAGTAACTTTCCTGGTCTGCAGGTTAGTCTCCAGGCCACATATAAACATATACCTAATGTGTTATATGCCTAATGAGGAAAGAAAACAACCTCTCAAACTGCACACAGCAACTCCCGATTCTGTTAAAGTATGCTTCATAAAAGCAGGGTGACTCTGAAGCCTGAAATCAAATTATTAAAAATTTTCTTCACAGTATTTAAAATGGCTGCAGTTCATGCAATGGATACATGTAGATTAATAAACTGCACAAGCTTATTTTGTTGCTTCTTCCATGTGATGTTGTCTTCCTTTGTACCTCAGTGTATTCATATAAGGATTTTTGTGTAACCTGTGGAAAAAATGGCACCATCTTTCCAGTGCGCTTTTGGAATGTGTGTGTAAAAGGAATGCCATATGAACAGCCTGAAAAGGCACCTTCTGAGCCCTAAAACAGCCATGGACTTAATTTTGGCACAGACTTCTTATGCTGCCCTGCTGGCTTATTTCAATTTTAACCTTGGAAACTGGCCTTTGGAGGCAAGAAGTCAAGATCTGCAGTTACTGGAGGCTTCTCCAGAGCTGTCTCTGCTTGAGAATTTATCATAACAAAGCATTTTTTTTAAGAGTTGCTTCAGCTGATGTTCTGAGGGTTGCAGGGCTGAGGTTCTTCCCTCTGCAGCTCATTGTCATCCTTCATAATTAAATGAGAATAACATTAAATAACACAGTAACAGAAGATGGAACTGGCATGCTGAGACAGTGTTAAAAAAACCCAAACAAAACACAACCCTCCCTCCCCAAAACCAAAAAATTCTGACTCTCATTCTGTTCACACAGGTGAGTAGATTGTGTATTTCATTTATTCTTTTTTCTTTTTCCCCAGGCATTTGCCAGAAAAAGTTAAAGATGATGTTCAACTAAAGAATATGAGCGGGCAGTGGTTTTATGAAGCGAAGTCAAAGAGGCACAGAGATAAGATACACGGAGCAGATATTATTAGAGCTTCCATGCGACGGAAGCCTGCCACTCTTGGTAAGCATTTGGTTTACATCTTGTTTTGGAAAGGCTGACTCTTACTTAGCGAACCTCAGATGCTGTTGCCTGTGAAATGTGAGAAGAATATTGGTATCTCTAAAAGAAGAAAATGATGCAAAAAAGAGATTTCCCATGTGGTTTACAGTGTAAGCTTTCCTCTCCCCGGTGCTAGATATTAAAGTGAGAATTGTGTTCGATGAGTGCTAAAACGAGGGACTGACTTGTGTTTATATGTAGGACTGAGAGCCCTCTGCACTCCTGGACTGCATTCTCATTTCCATTTTTAAGGCCCTGTAAACTACCCTGGAACATGCAAAGAATCAGAGACTGAAGAAGTTGCTCTTTAGTATAGACTTCCAAGATTTTGGATGCTCAGTTTGAGACTCTGAGGTGTAATTTATTTATTTATTTATTTTTTTTATTTATTTTTAAGGAGAGAAAAGGTGCTTTAAGTTGATTTGCAATGATAGGGGGCCATAAGCTAGAGCTAGTGGTTACAACTGCTGAAATATATGTGCTGGGAGCTCTGGTGGCTAGAGCTGGCATCCTGTGTCCATGTTACTTTTAAATGCACCCGCCACCCCCCACATCATGGTGGGTGCCCTCAAATGATCTGTTAGAAATGTCTGTTAAAGCCAGCTGTGTTCATGTGCCAGGTAACAGTTGCAGACATTAATTTAGTAGTAAAGATAGGTAGTAATATGTTGTGTGTAAACTAGGTAATGTTGACAAGCTTGGTGCTCACTTGATAATAAATACTATATTCTGAAACTTATTTAAAAATAAATCAGAATGTGGGAAGATAATGCGTTGTGTTTAACATCAGAAGTAAAGACAGTGGGTTTTTTTGAGAGAAACAAAACAAAAGAGTAGAACAGAAGAGCTGCTTTACTGGACCAGACCAAAAGCTCGTCTCCCCACCACCCTACCTCTGAGAGTGCCTGGCAGCTCCAGGATTGGGACCAGACTGCAGACAATTGCACCTGAGACTTTTTTGAAATAGAGGAGATATTTCTGGATTATTTTTTTCTCCATTAATTTGTGCAAGAAGTTTTTTAAAGCCATGCCTCTAACTTTTACCATGTCCTGTCTGAGGGCTTTTTAAAATGTTTTTCCACGTAAGAAGTGACCGTTTCCTTTTCTGGTTTTGAACTGATCACCATTAACGTTATCCCTGGGCGAGGAAGTTAACAGTTGATTATATTCACAAAAATATATAGCATGCAGGATTTTATAGACTTCTATTATAAATCTCTCAGCATCTGACTTTCTAATCTGAAAAATCCTGGTCTATTTTGTCATTCTTTTTACAGAAAGTGATTTTTTTTTTTTAAAAAAAGAAATTGACCTCCATCCCTTCTTAGTCTCCTCTAAGTCAAAAGGATTTTGTAGAACTAGAAGGGCAAGGCTCTTACTATTCTCACCAGATTGTACTGAAATTTGCAATCTTTATTCTTTTAAGTTGTATTAAGGGATTTTACTGTGTGCTAGTGAAGCAAGTTGGGTACTTCTCTCAATACTGTGAGTGGGCTACAGCTTGCTACTTTCCATAGGTTTTGTAACTACATTTAGTCTTTGGTCTAATCCTGCAGTGTTACACTTTCTCAATTCCTATATTCCCGGAGATAAGTTTGGATAATAGCAGTTTAGTCAGTTTGAGGTTACTGTGTGATGGTTTGGGGATTTTAAGTTAACAAAAAAAAGGCCTGAAATGGAAAACAATGCAAAAATTCTTAAGCGGCTAGTGTGGTATGTTTGTGATTTTTGGCTGGGTTTGGACTTGAAGGTTATAAAAATCAGCTGTAAAATTCTAGCTAAATTTTACAGTAACTTAGAGCTTAAAGGAAAGCTCTTAAAGCCTTATTATCTTAAAGGAAGGTTAATTACTCCTAATCTTACTACTTGAACAAAGGGGCGTGCTGGTACATTCAGAACTATGTGCAATTGCTTGGTTTCAATGACTCATTAGATGTCAAGATATTTTTGCTTGCAGTTACGGATAGCAAAGTGAGAGTAAAAATCTTGCTTATTTTTGCACACAAAGACATTTTTAATTTCTAAACTGTTGAAGTACAAAAAGCAGTAGAGGAAATAATGTAAACTAATGTTTGGACTCTGAAGAGGTTTATCAGAATAGGATTCTGTCCCACCCCAAAAAGAAATGCAAAAGTACTTGCATTTGCTGAATGAGTGGGGCATTTTGTTTGGTGGGTTTTTTAATACTTACCTTCTTAATGTCTTGTGATATTGTGGTAATTCTATCCATAAAGGACAAGGCACCTGCTTAAATGAGAAAGTTATGACCAACTTCTAATTTACTGCTGTAGGAAGAGAATAATTGCCTTGTTTAACTGAATTTCAACATATTTTTCAGTTTCCTGTGATTTAATTTTTTTGTTTCCTCAGGACAGTGAGGTTGAATTTTCAATGTTTATCTAGCTGCAAAAAGGACAAGATCAGTCTTTACCAGGGTTGTTGTAGAAAACTTCTCCATTTAGGATCATTTTAAGGTGTAAAGCAGACATACCTGGAGTAGTAGAGTGAAGTATTCAGAGCAGTATGTGATGTTTCTAGTAGCATTAAAAAAAAAAATCATTCTTCAGAAGACACTAGACCCACTTCTGTACATAAGTGGAGTATGGTGGACTTTGAAATAGCTGTAGGACTGGATGCAAATACTTGTATTTACTTAAGAAATCCTGTATGAACATATGGGAGACAACAATGGTTTTGTTTCATGTTTTAGCTGAAGTGAGTCAGAACAAATCAAACAAAGCAAAGAACAGCTGGGTAAGCAACATTAATAAAGAAGTCTTTGTGCCACCAGAGCTACATGGCATTGTGGAGCATCAAGAAGAAGAACAACTGAAATCTAGTTCAAGGTAAGCTGTCTGTTTAATCACACTTTGTATGTATATATATGATGAAACATGTGAGCTGTAAATTCCATCCAAAATATCGCTTCTTACTTCAAAGGTCATCAAATGTTTCCTCAGTCTTGCCCAAGGAATCCGTGCATCTGAAAGACTGACAAATCGTAGTCATGCATTGTTAACTTTGGCTTACCTCTCCAAGGAAGAAGTTGTCAGTGGTGTACAGAATGGTCCCACACATGTCCTCGTGTCACAACTCAGTCTGGCTCCCAGAAGTGAGACCAGAATTTTCTGGTTAGAATGTTTGGCCGTGATCAATCCTCTGCAGTTAGTAACAGGGCGACAATAACCTCTGCATCTTTTCATTCAGGTACTTAACGAGGCCAGACTATTGATTCAGCCTGAATCTTAAGCTTGGATCATACAAAAAATCAGAGACTGAGAAATTGCTCTTTAGAATTTTCCAAGTTTTTGGGTGCACATTTTGAGACCTCTGAGACTTTTTAAGGAAACCAAATGTATTTCAGGGGAAAGAAGCAGAATCTTTGGATACTTGAGGAAAATAAGTCAGATTCTACCAAGAAAAATAAATGTCTTTCTGGAAGGGAGAGTCTTCCATTCAGAGTAAGGCAAGCCAGTCAGCTTGGATATGCCTGAATGGCTACAGTAGTTGCAGGAAAGCTGAATGATAAGTTGTTTCTGAACTACGGAGGATTTTGTATGAAGTCACTGTATCTCAAGTCTGTAAACATCCCGAACAACTCCCTTTTGCTTTGAAATACCGAGCTGATTTCTGAGAGAGACAGACATGTCTTCTCCTTAAAATACTTACATGTAATTCATTGGCTGTGTGAAAAGCTTTCAAAACCCTGCTTTTGAAAAGGAAAGTGCTGATCTCTTAGCTGGGGTGGCAGCAGGTGGAAATGAAATGTCTTTAAATGTCCAGATTGCCTCAACACCATTGAGGCACCAAGACCCAGGGTTTAACACAGGTAGCTATTGTTTGTCCTTTCAGTGAAGAGTGAGGTAGGAGCCAGAGTTACTTCTTAGGGTGCCTGTTTTACTTCTGGTTGTGCCGTTGATCAGCTCTGTAACCTTTGATTCTCTTATCTGTCTTCTAAGTCCTTCTCTGTACGTCATCTTTTTTTCTTTGCAGCAAGGCTTGTCTCCTACTATGCATTTGTACAGTATCTAGTAGCAGTTGAATCTTTCACTTTCGTGGTCTGCAAACTGGGCACGCACGTTCATGATGAACGGCACCAAAGGTTGGTGTAAGTCTTAACAGCTCTGGCTTGCGTTGCTGGTCTATCTTACCCTTTATGTGTCATTATCAGTGAACTCAAAGGAGTATTTGTCAACCACATCTGAAATTGTGCTGAAAAAGGTCAAATAAACTGCTTTGTTGTAGACTTCCCAAAAAATGAAGTTGTACAGTAAGGGTGATAGAGGTTGCTTATCACAAGAAAGATCTTCGCTCCACCCTGCACCCCCCACCCCCCACTCCCCCCCAAGTTGGCTGATAACGCTGACAATTAGTTGTTACTGAATGTAGGTTTTTTACAGGTGGCTTTTACCATCAGGAATTTTGATGGAGTTATTTCTTTACAGAGGGCCCAAGACATGCTGCTGTTTAATATATGTTTTGGAATATTTTGCATAGCATCTTACACATCAGGAAAAGATGATGATACTTTAAAAGAAGTTGAAGCCCTATAATGTTGTTCTTAACATTACAACTTCATAAATTGTCTGTGACTGATAGGGTGATACATTTCATAAACTGCCAGAGCAGCCTCTTCAAAAATATATAACATAATGAGGTTTAAGAACACTTAGACAATTGTTTGGAATATGACTGACTTGATAGTGGGCTTTTGGGGTGATTTGATGACTTATTCCAGGTTACAGCTATGCAAAACTTGATAATTATTATCCAGGGCCCTTTCCTGCCCTTTGCTTCAAATTGTGCCAGAAAGTAAGCAGCCTGTATGCCTTGTGCATGTGTGCTCATACTCTCACCAGTAGCTCAAGATCTTCCCTCTAAAGCAAGCTCATACAGCCCAGAATTTATGAGACAATTGGAAGTGGAGCTTGGGAAGTGACTTATGCAGGCTGGATGCTTACTTGCATTTACTTTGCATAAATACTTGATTAGGTGTCTCAGACGATTTGCTTCTGAAATGTCAAAAGCTGAAGCAAGTAAACACGGCAGGACTGTGCAATTCATTGCTTATGATTTCAGTATGGATTTGTTTCACTATGGCTGAGATCAGTCTACACATCATTGCATGTGGGAAATTGCAGGAGGTGTCATGTTTTTAAAATACTCTTCCTTTCTCTTCTCTTGATACTGGACTTTGAAAGAAACGGGTCTGACATGGCTGTGGGCCTGTCTCTAATGGCAGCAGCTGATCAGGAGTCAAAGGGAAACACAATGCTGGGAAAGCAATGTCACCACCAGTTGCGGTGGGAAGGGAAAGCCTAGACACCACAAACATTTAATTTGGCTGTTAGGACAGCAGAGCCACAAGGAATTAATTGACTCTTCCTCTTGCAATGCAGTAGTTTCAGCATGGCTAGAGCTAAGAGGATGAAAGAGTATCGGGAGCTTGAGACTGCGTAAAGGGAGTTCACAGCTTCTAGTGTCCAAATGCTGCATGTGGTTCGAGCACTTGGACTTTTAAAACATTTTAAAGTGCTGCTTTAAGGGTAGGTTTGTGGGAGTTGTGGGGTTTAGGGTTTGGGATTTTTTTCCCCCTCCTTCTTCCTTTAAGAATAGGCTTGAGGCCAGCACTGGCTTGCAGGCTTTGCATAAACTGAACAACTGCTAACCTGAGGATTGAGACCAGGAGATCTATGATGACAAATTACCCAGACGTTTTTTGTTCTGGATCCTGTTCTTAAATAAAACCCCCTGATTTTTACTGAATGTGAAGAAAGTTAATTTCTGATAGGTCTGTTTGTAAACTGCTGAGGGTCAAATCCAGCCCTGGGGCCAGTTCAACTGCTGTTGAGTCAGGGTGCTGCTGTATTAGGTGGACCAGAAATCAGCCCACAACTATATTCTTAAAATTAGCATATTGATCTTTATCCCTACACCCCAAATACCTAAATTCAGTAGTGAAGCTATGGATGATTTTTTTTTTCCTTGGGCGTTATATCACTGTGGTATTTCTCTTGCATACCAGAGCCTTTACAGGCCAGGTGTGTGAAGTATCTTTGAAGGCGTAACCTTGCACAGAATGACTTTTCATAGGGTGACTCAGACTGTCAATATTACCTCTGTTCAGTGATACCATCTGTCTATATGCTGAATCTCAAGAAAGGGCGATTTTAAAGGGGTTTTATCTTTCAAATTAAGTTTTGTAGGTTGTTTTCTTCCCTAGGCTAGAAAATATTCTCAGCCTACATTGAACAGATACAAGTGTGGGTCCTAGAGCTCTGCAAGGTGAAAATTTGCACAAAAGCTCTAATTTGTAAAACCCTCCTAACTTTTCTATTTTCTAGAATAAAACGGGTGCTGGGATACCTAGATAAAGATATTTTTCTGGAGTACCATTAAATCACACTAGTTTTACTCACACCAGATTCTCTGCCCTTCAGGATGAGACCAGGAAAGCTTATTTTTTGGAATGGGAGGCCCTTTCTGAGTAGACTGTATTGACAATGCCTTCAAATCTATAACCCCTTTCTCCAGCTTTGCTCCTGCCTTTGCCCTGTTGGCTCTTGGTTCCTATCCAGTCTGTGTGGAACTTTGTTTTGCTGAATTTCAGTGCAGAAGTGTTTTTAATCTGGGTTTATTTATCAGTTTGGCTTCATACACTCTCTTAAATTGGCCTTGTGAATGCAGCATATGTGGGAACTGTTTGTTCAGTTTTCCAGTCTGTATGGGTTGAGAATAAACTCATTTTCAGACCCTTTATTGTGAAACTTAGTTATAGGATCCTGGATGTGTTTTTTTTTCCTCTACTTTGTTTTCTTTAGAGCAGGGTTTCCAGTGTGTAATGCCAAATTAAAAACTCTTTAATTATTCTAAGGTAAGTCAGAAGTAGTATTGCATTAAAATATTGAGGGATTATGCAAGTGTTCAATGAGACTTAAAGTTACCTCCCCAGCTGTAAAAACTGCAGACCAAAGAATGTCTTACGGGCTTCTTGCAGCCCAGGGTACATTACAGTACTTTCCTTGTTTAAAATGAGGGAAGGGTTGAAGTATTCATGACCTAAACCTTAAAAAAAACCAACCAACCAAACCCAAACAAAAATCATATTTGTCCTGTTGGTTAGTAGGTGGTGTAGATGAGACACAAAGTGCAGGAGCACAGAGGTGCTCTTAAAAACAAAAACACAAACTCAAGTGCTTTATAAAAACAAGAACACAAAGTTCAACAGAACAAAGTTTCTTTAAATATATGTATTTCCATACTTAAAAAAAAAAGAGTATTAGAACTAAGGTTAAAAACTATAATGTGAAATATTTTTGAAAAGAAAGTAAAGGTTGCAATATTGACCTCTTTGAGAACTAGATTTTTTTAATTATTATTTAGGATCAGAGAAGAATGAACAGAACAATAATAACCTGTTATGCCTGGTGTGTGCACGTAAGAGGCTGTGGCTGTTCGTGTTGAAATATAAGAACAGTTTATTTTTTCACCCATGAGATAGTTTCCATTACGAGATCCTTAACTTTGAATCACTATGCAGTGCTCAACCAGAAGAGCAAAGAAGAGATAAAGAAGTTTGTAGCTCGGATTACAACTGTTTTTTTTTCCCTAGTCTTATATTCAGGCCGCTCATTACTGTGTCATCTTATTTTCTCCATAGTGATGTTTTTCCCTTTGTAAGATGGAAGTGATGTCACTTCTCGGGCACACTTAGCAGGCCAGAGGCCAGTAGCCTTTCAAGGGTGGCTTCCAGACTTTTCTCCTAAACTTCAAGGTTAAATGTACAGCACCTGGAGAAGATAGGAAAGTGTTTCTTTCCTCAGCAGGACAGGCTGTTGCCAGTTACATGACTGGGGAGATCTTTGTCCATGGGAGGAGGCAGCTTCTGTTTGAAACTGAACTTCTTGAGAGCTGGGAGTTGTTTTCTTGTCCTGAGATACCACATCTGCCCTCAAAAGTGTTGTCTCATGGCTCTGCTACTTGCCAATCAATATCTGAAGGTCTTTTCACCCATACCAAAGATCACTGACCAAAGAAATATTCAGTATTGGAATCTCCTTGTACATGTATATTGAAAAAAACATAGGAGTTGCTTTCCTTTCTAGCCTGAGACCGTGTTTCCTACCTGGAGAATATTAATTTTTCCTGCCTTGTACTGTTTTCCCCATCCCCCAAATCATAAACATGTAAGTTGGTTAATGCCAGCATTTTCTTTATAAAATTAAGATACTGAAAGTGGTTGTTATATGAAGACCATATTTAAAACCATATCTAACTTCCACCTTCAAAAAACAAATGTTTTTCCATATCTGAGATGTTTAGATAAACTCAAATTATAAATATCTGATTGTTTTGGGAAAAAAAAACCTTGTTTTATTTTGCAAATGGATGAAGTATTTCTTGATATAATGTAGAAGCTGTCTCTTCTAGCTGTTTTAATTTCTCCTTACCTGGGCTGTACTTAGTCAAGACCCCACAAGTAATAACTTACTTCACTTATGCTATCAAACCATAGATCTTTTTTTTTTTTTAGATCTTAATTGAAAGAACAGCTTATAGCTGTACCTCTGAGGGAATGTGGTGTCGTCTGAGGCATGTCACATCTTTGCTATAGTGGTGATGGGGTTCCTCTGATTTTTCTGACTTTGGACACTTTGCAAAACTGTTGTTTACCAGATTTTGGCACTTTTCTCCGCTTTGATCTCAGTCCTAGAAGTATAAATGTAGGACAAAAATGGAGACAGCAACACTGATTGGAAAGTGGCTATATTTACATAAAGCTTGCTCAAAAGTCTCAAAAGATATTAAAAATGTGGTTTCTGTCATGCCAAGTAGAAGTTGTATTGAATTCTTTAACAAGCAAATAAATTATTGCAAGGAAACAAAGCAGTAAGAATATCCCTTTGCTATGGAAAGGAGATTTGCTTCTAAATCTGATGGAAACAGGCTAAATTTAAAACTTTAGCACCAAGAGGTTATATTCAAGTATGTATAAATGAATCTTTATTTTGCCTTTTTCAAAAAGGCTTCAAGTAATGCCATGTTTACTGAAGTTGTTACATGCTTTCTCTTTGCAGTTCTAAGCCAGTAACCTCTCTGTTAGACAAACCAGAGGAAAGACCTGTGAAGGCAACAGTCTCGCCAGTAAAGGTATGACTGGTATTGAATACAGCAGGAGTTATCTTTTACATTTTGTGTGTTCTTTGCTTCAGTGGTAAAGATAATTAAAGATTTGAGGAAGAAAGATAATAAAGTGGAAAAAATGAGTTATTTTTTGTTTTGGAGGGAGATAACTGAACCCTCTAAAAGTTCAGCATTAAAGCACTGTTACAGCTACAATCAGTGTCTGTCTGTGCTTGGCATTATTTCCAGGCTCTTCAGCCACTAAAAAGAATTGTCCTGCTGTGTTCTTCTATCTCTAAAGTCACAGAAATAAAGATAAAATTATTTAACTTGCAACGACTTGGGATTTTGGATCAGTCTAGATGGTCACACTCAGAGTCATGGTCAACAGCTCCATGTTCAAGTGGAGACCAGTGATGAGTGGTGTTCCTCAGGATCAGTATTGTGACCGGTGCTATTTAGCATCTTTGTCAGCAACATGGACAGTGACATTGAGTGCACCCTTATCAGCTTTGCTGATGACATCAAGCGGAGTCATGCAGTCATCACGCTGGAGGGAAGGGAGGCCATCCAGAAGGACCTGGATGGGCTGGAGAGGTGGGCCCGTGCGAACCTTGTGAGATTCAACAAGGCCAAGCGCAAGGTCCTGCACGTGGGTCGGGGCAACTCCAAGCACAAATACAGGCTGGGTGATGAGTGGATTGAGAGCAGCCCTGAGGAGAAGGGCTTGGGGGTGCTGGTGGATGAAAAACTGAACATGAGCCAGCAATGGGCACTCACAGCCCAGAAAGCCAATGTCATCCTGGGCTGCATCAAAAGCAGCGTGGCCAGCAGGTCAAGGGAGGTGATTGCCCCTCTCTATTCTCTGGTGAGACCCCACCTGAAGTACTGTGGTGAGCTCTGTGGCCCCCAGCATAAGAAAGACACAGACCTGCTTGAGCAGGTCCAGAGGAGGCCACAGAGATGATCAGGGGGCTGGAGCACCTCCCCTGTGAGGCCAGGCTGAGAGAATTGGGGTTGTTCATCCCGGAGACGAGAAGGCTCTGGGGAGACCTTAGAGTGGCCTTCCAGTGCTGAAAGGGGGCTGCAGGAAAGGTGGGGAGGGACTCTTGATCAGGAAGGGTAGTGATAGGATGAGGGGTTAACAGTTTCAAACTGAAAGATGGGAGATTGAGATTAGACATTAGGAAGAAGTTCTTTACTGTGAGGGTGGTGAGACACTGGCACAGGTTGCCCAGGGAAGCTGTGGCTGGCCCCCCC